CAGACCAATATGCAGCATGAATAAACACAAGAATTCTTAGCAAAATATCAGTAAATCAAATTTAGCAATATATAAAGAATTATATACCACGATCAAGTGGGGTTAATTCCAAGGAAGAGAAACTCGTTCAACATTCAAATATCAGTGTAACCTACTATATTAACAGGCTAGGAAAGAAAAATCATGTGATCATATCAATAGACACACACAGAAAACATATTTGACAAAATTCAACACTCACTCATGATAAAAACTTGAAAAATAGAAATACAAGGGAACTTCCTCAACTTGATAAAAAATTATCTACCAAAATATAAACCTAATATTATATTTAATGGTGAAAAACTGAATTCTTTCACTCTAAGATTGGGAATAGGATGTCTGTGCTCATCATTCTTTTTCAACACATCTAGCTGTTAAGATCTAGCCAGTGCCGGAAGATGTAGCCAGTGCCATAAGGCAAGAAAATGAAATAAAATGAATACAGATTGGAAAGAAAGTAATGAAACTGTTTTTGTTGATAGGTGATATAATTGTCTATATGAGCATCTCAATGAATCAACAGCAACAACAAAAAACCTCCTGGAATTAATAAGCAGTTATAGCAAGGTCACAGGATACAAGGTTAACATTACAAAAATCAATTGCTTTCCTATATGGCAGTAATAAACAACCAGAAATCAAAATTAAAAGCTCAATACCATTTAAATTAGCACTAATCAAAGCAAAATACTTAGGTATAAATCTATCAAAATATATACAACATCATTCTGAGGAAAACTAAAATCTTTGTATGAAAAGAAATCAAAGATCTAAATAAATGGAGAGATATTCAGTGTTCGTGCATAGGAAGACTCATTCAATATTATTAAATGTTAGTTTTTTCCAACTTAATCTGTAGATTCAACACAATCCCAATCGAAATCCCAGCGAGTTACTTTTGTGGGATCAGCAAACTGATTCTGAAGTTTATATCGAAAGGCAAAAGACCCAGCACAATACTGGAGAAGAATAAAGTTGAAGGACTGATACTAACCAATCTCAAGATTTACTATAAAGCTACAGTAATCAAGACAGTGTGGTAGGGGTGAAAAAAATGGACACACTAGAGAGCCTAGAACAGACCCATGCAAATAGTCAATTGATCTTTGACAAAAGAACAAAGGCAATTCAATGGAGAAAGGATAGTCTTTTCAACAAACAGTGCTGGAGCAACTGGATATCCACATGCAAAAATAAGTAGATAAATCTAGACACAGACCTTACACTTTTCACAAAAATTAAATCATAATGGGTCACAGACCTAAACATAAAACACTAACTCTAAAACTCCTAGAAGATAATATGGGAGAAAATCCAGGTTATCTTAGGCTTGGAGATTTTTTAGATACAACACCAAAAGTATAATTCATGAAAGAAAAAATTGATAAGTTGGGGACTTCCCAGGTGGTCCAGTGGTTGAGATTCCGTGCTTCTAATGTGGGAGGGCGTGGGTTCAATCCCTGGTCAGGGAAGTAGGATCCCACATGCCATGCAGTGCAGCCAAAAGATTAAAAAATTTTTTTCTTGTTAAGTTGCACTTCATTAAAATTAGAAACTTCTGCTCTGTGTAAAACACAAGAGTGAACCATAATGTAAACTATGGACTGTGGATGATTATGATGTGTCAATGTAGATCCATCAATTGTAATAAATGTACCAATCTGATAGGGAATGTTGATAATGGAAGAAGCTATGCATGTGTGGGGCAGGTGATATGTAGGAAATCTCTTTATCTTCCCCTGAGTTTTGCTGTGAACCTTAAACTCTTCTAAAAAAGTAAAGTATTAATTAAACAAACTTCTGCTCTGTGAGAGACACTGGTGAGAAAATGAAAAGATAAGCCACAAATTGGGAGATAATCTTTGCAAAATACATATCTCATAAAAGATTGGTATCCAAAATATACAAAGAAATCTTAAAACTCAACAATAAGAAAACAAACAACCCAATTTAAAAATGGGCAAAGGTTCTGAACAGAACCTCACCAAAGAAGATATACAGATGGCAAAGCATCATATGCAAATATGCTAAACATCATATAGCCTTAGGGGATTGCAATTAAAATAATGAAATACCACTACACAACTATTAGAATGACTGAAATCTGAAACACTGAGAACACCAAATGCTGGTGAGGACGTGGAGAAATAGGAGCTCTCATTCATTGCCAGTGGGAATGCAAAATGGTACATTTGCACTTGGAAAACATTTTGACAGTTTATTAGAAAACTGAAAATACTCTTACTATATAATTGAGCAATACCACTCCTTGGCATTTACCCAAATACTCTGAAAATTTATGTTCACACAAAAACCTGCACACAAATGTTTATAGTAGCTTATTCATAATTGCCAAAAATTGGAAGCAACCAAGATTCACCAATGGGTGAATGAATAACCAAATTGGTATATCCATTCAATAGAATATTATTCAGTGATAAAAAAGCAATGAGCCATAAAGCCACAAAAAGACATGGAGTAACTTTAAGTGCGTATTGTTAAGTGAAGGAAGACAGTCTGAAAAGGATACATGCTATATGATAACAAATATATGACATTCTGGGACTTCCTTGGCGGTCCAGCAGTTAAGACTCTGTGCTCCCACTGCAGGGGGTGCGAGTTCAATCCCTAGTGGGGGAACTAAGATCTCACATGCTGCACAGTGTGGCAAAACACAAAAACAAAAACAAATATACGACATTCTGGAAAAGGCAATATCATGGAGATGGTAAAAAGATCAATGGTTGCCAGAGGTTTGGGGGCAAGGGAGGAATTAATAGATGGAACACAGAACTTTTTTAGGGCAGCAAGACTATTCTGCATGATACTGGAATGGTGGCTACATATCATTATATATCTGACAAAACAATACAAAGGGGTTTCCCTGGTGGCGCAGTGGTTGAGAGTCCGCCTGCCGATGCAGGGGACACGGGTTCGTGCCCCGGTCTGGGAAGATCCCACGTGCCATGGAGCGGCTAGGCCCGTGAGCCATGGCCGCTGAGCCTGTGCTCCGCAATGGGAGAGGCCACAACAGTGAGAGGCCTGGCGTACCACAAAAACAAAAAAAAAAAAAAAAAGAACTTTAGTTAGTAACAATGTATCAAAATTGACTTATCAATTGTAACAAATATACCACACTAAAACAAGACATTAATAATAGAATAAACTGGTGTGTGTACGGTGGGAGTATATGGGAACTCTAATTTTCTCTGTAAACCTAAAACTGCTCAAAAAAATAGTCTATTAATTTTTTAAAGTGTGGTATATCCATACAATGGGCTACTATAAAGTAATTTTTAAAAGCCAAAAATTTTTTTTTTTTTTTTTGGCGGTACGCGGGCCTCTCACTGTTGTGGCCTCTCCCATTGTGGAGCACAGGCTCCGAAAGTGCAGGCCCAGCGGCCATGGCTCACGGGCCCAGCCACTCCACGCCATGTGGGATCTTCCCGGACCGGGGCATGAACCCACGTCCCCTGCATCGGCAGGCGGACTCTCAACCACTGTGCCACCAGGGAAGCCCCAAAAAGCCCAAAATATTGGTACATGCTACAACATGGGTGAACTTCAGAAACATAACCCTGAATAAAAGAAACCAAATGCAAAGGTCTACGTATTGCAGTCATTTATTTCTATAAAATGTCCAGAAAAGGCAAATCTATAGACAGAAAGCAGATTCGTGATTGCCTGGCACTAGTAATAGGAGGGGCACTGACTGCATATGGGCAAAAGGGATCCTTTGGGGGTGATGGAAATGTTCTAAAACTAGATTGTGGTGGTGTTTGCACAGCTCCATAAATTTGCTAAAAATCATTGAATTATATATTTTCAAATGAGTGAATATTATGACATGTAAATTAAAACTGAATGGAGCTGTTTTAAAAAAGAACACATAAATAAAAGGTTAGTCATTAAATACTTTCAACTGATTATGGGTGCAGGGAATAAAGCAAAAAAGAGTAAACAAATGAAACAAGAGATATACCTTTTGAGGCTCAAATGATGAGACACGAACTAAGGAGTTTAATTCAAACTTCTGCACCAAAAATTTTATAGTTTTAGGTCATATATTTACATCTTTGATCCATTTTCAGTTAATTTTTGTACACAGTGTTAGGTAAGGGTCCAACTTCATTCTTTTACATGCAGATATCCAGTTTTCCCAGCACCATTTCTTGAGAAGATGGTTCTTTCCCCATGGAATGGTCTTGTCACTCTTGTCAAAACTCATTTGACCATACATGTGAGGGTTTACTTCTGGGTTCTCTATTCGGTTTAATGGGTCTATGTCTGTCTTTATGTCAGTACCACACTGTTCTGATTACTGTAGCTTTGCTAAGTTTTGAAATCAACAAGTGTGAGTCCTTCAGCTCTGTTATTTTTCAAGATTGTTTTAGCTATTCAGAGGCCCTTGAGATTCCATATGAATTTTAGGAACTGTTTTTCTCTTTCTGCCAAAAAATGGCATTTGGATTTTCATAGGGATTATATTTAATCTGTGGGTCACTTTGGGAAGTATTGATATCTTAACAATATTAAGTCTTCCAATCCATGAACTTGGTTTGTATTTCCATTTATTTGTGTCTTCTCTAATTTCTTTCAGCAATGTTTTGTGATTTTCATTGTATAACTTAATTATATAACTTATAATTGTATAAGTTAATCTTTGATTAACTCCTAAGTATTTTTTAATTTTAATTTTTTAAACAAATTTATTTATTTATTTATTTTTGGCTGTGTTGGGTCTTTGTTGCTGCATGCAGGCTTTCTCTAGTTGAGGCAAGCGGGAGCTACTCTTCATTGTGGTGTGGGGGATTCTCATTGCAGCGCCTTCTCTTGTTGTGGAGCACAGGCCTAGGCATGCGGGCTTCAGTAGTTGTGGCTCGCGAGCTCAGTAGCTGTCGCTCGTGAGCTCTAGAGCGCAGGCTCAGTAGTTGTGGCGCACGGGCTTAGTTGCTGCGCGGCATGTGAGATCTTCCTGGCCCAGGTCTCGAACCTGTGTCCCCTACATTAGCAGGCAGATTCTTAACCACTGTACCAAAAGGGAAGTCCCAATACTTTATTTTTTTAATGCTATTGTAAATGTAATTGTTTTCATAATTTCATGTAATTGTTTCCTTTCAGACTGTACAGTTAGTGTACAGGAGGGCAACTAATTTTTTCATGCTAACTTTGTAGCCTACTACTTAAGTGAATTCATTCATTGGTTCTAACAGGTTTGGGGGAGAAATCTTTAGGGCTTTCTACAAAAAAGACCATGCCATATGTAAACAAAGATGATTTTACTTCTTCCTTTCAGATTTGGATGCTTTTTATTTCTTCTTAAAATTTCTTTTCCTTGCCTAACTGCTCTGGCTAGAACTTCCAGTACTATGTTGAATAGAAGTGGCAAAAGTGGACATCCTTGTCTTTCACAAGGAAAGTGCTGTAAATGTTTAAAAACTGGTGACTCAATAAATATCAAATGAATGAATAAATCGGCCAGTGAGGAGCAAAACAAACGAGTATGGTTGCTTGATCTAAAGAAAGCTAGCTGCCATGGTGTGAACAGCCCTATGGAGAGGTCTAGGAGCAGCCCAGTCAGGCATCCAGATGATTGCCTCCCCAGCCAACTTATTAACTGCAACCTCACAAGATATCCTCAGCCAGAACCATCCAGCCCAACTAAGCTACTCCTGAATTCCCAACCTTAGAAACTGCATGAGATCATAATTGTTTCTTATTCTAAGCTGCTGAGTTTTAGGGTCATCTGTTATGTACTAATAGATAATATAGACAGCAAATTAGTGAGTGAACGTGAAATGACACTGCATAGCAATTGTCAAAACAGTATAACATAGGTTTGGGTAAGACATGTGGTTTTCTAAGGACGTAGTGAATCAGTATCACGACCTCCTAAAAACAAATGATAGCACATCCTACTTCCTATCCTGTTTGAGCAATGACCTTGTCTTTACAGATGCAAGGAAAGAAAAAGTAGAAAAACAATGATCTACATGGTCATTATTAAGGGATATCATCAAAGACCCCCCACCCAATACCCACCATATCTAGGTACCACAGTGCCTGAAATTCCACTATTAGAGAGCCATTCTTTTGAGTTCCTTTTCCTAGAGTCTTCCTATAAGTACATTAACAATTATATATAAATGCTCTCACAACAAATACCAAATATGTACAGAATGAAAAAGTACAAGATATGAAAAAGGGAAGGCTTTTTGGTAAAGATAGAAGCATCACTTTAAGGATTTATAACTGTTTTTCTTCACTTTTTCAATCATAGGTGAAATATAAACAGTTTTATCAGTTTTCTACAATAAACAAAATTAAAGTTAGGAATATTACAATAATATATGATCATTTTCTTTGCCCAAATTAACATCTATCATTCAGGAAAGTCTTTTTTTACTCTAAGGCAAATCTTTCTTGAAAAAAACTCATGGAAAGCAATTTTTCCATTCAGATATATCAAGGGTCTTTATTGTTCCCTATACTTTTTTCAGCCTGGGATGATTCATAAACACTTTATTCATAAAGATGGGCAGCTGCTCTATTTGCTGAGTGAGCATCTGAATTTCCTATGAAGATCTTCCTTTCTCTATAGCAAAAGAAAAAAACACTTCCTGAGAGTTATCAGTTATGTTTATAGTGACAAAATCAAAATTAATATTCAGAACTACAGAGTTTACCAAATTGGCTAGTATCAAAATCTAGATTTTTAAAAAGAAACAAATTTGAAAGAGTAACTCATCTGTCAATATACTTACAGACTTCCAAGATGGCTCATTTGCACCAATTTCCTGAATGCTCTCTTTCACAGCTTCCTCCATGGCCGGTATGGGGACAACACTGTTGCTGGGAAGAGTAAACAACTGACTAAGGAATTTCTGATAGTGGAATCACAGTTTTAGTTTTCCAGTGGAATGAACACAGAGGTGTGTCTGTTTTTCCTTATGGATCAAATCTTTTCAACATTTATCCCAAATTTTCTCTCTGTCTTTTGGTCCTTCAAAGTGAAAAATGTTGTATCTTTCAAAGTTCTTGGCCAGGATAGCTTCATCTTTATCCTAAATATACTGACACACATGTTAAACTCCCATTTAGAATTTAATATGAAGACATCTATTTCCCTCCTTTTGAAATATAAATACAGTCAGAGTACGAAACCTTAGGACAGAAAACCCCACATAGAAAGAAAGACTTATGAGTCATCAAATGAGAATGGTAACAGGGGTTGAAATGATGGTACTGGGAAATCATTTCTAGAATTCAGTAACTGAGTATAGAGAAGGAAAATTTTAAAGGAGATCAAAAAGATGAAAGTTAGAAGACAGTAGGTTTTAGCTTAAAAAAATAAGAATTTTCTTAAAATTAGGGCTGTCTGAAAATGTAATGGCTTTTGGAGGGGGTGGGAAGTCCTTGTCACTGGAAATTTTGAAATAGATGTAGATAAATACCTGGAAAGAATGTTGACTGAAAACTTGGTATATGAACTTTAATATTGCGTCCACTTCTAAGATTTTATATTTCTGTGCTACAGATGAAAAAAAAAATACAAGTTCAGGATCACAATCACAGTTCATGATAGAGTTGAGGATTAGAATACTAATCCTGATTAAGACTTCTAAATCCTGACATAATGCTCTGAACCAGAGTTTGATGAATGTCATGTAGCTTAGCAAAAGTGTGCCAAGGAAGCAAAAGGGTTTTTCAGGTCTGTATTAAGCGAATAAGTGAGAGGGGAATAAAAGTCCACTAAAGCAAGAACAGGGTATGAGAGGAAATGTCCAAAGAATAAAAACGAACAAAGCAAAAGAATTTATCATTATACTTGTATTTTAATTTCACATATATTTATTTGGTGTGCTCTGTATACATAACGTAGTGCTACATATTCCTGAGGACAGAAATAAATTAGATAGTATCTACTCACTATGTTAATAAGTACAATAATAAGACAAAATATAAGTGCCATAACAAAGTATAAACATTTTCTATGTGAACTGGAGAATAAAGAGATCATCTGGAATAGAGATGACCCAAGGAACAAAAATAAATTTCCAAAAAGAGATGGTATTTGAGATGGTTCTTGAGAAGTGGATTCATTCATTCAACAACCAAAAAATTCACCACATTGCAGGTTTGGTCATTCATTCATTCCATAAATTTAAGTATTTTAGACATATTTATTGAATTCTGCTAAATTTCAAACATGGTAAGTATTCAGCAGTGAACAAAATAGATAAAAAGCTCTGTCCTCAAAGAACTTATACCCAGCAGGGAGTAAGGGTGGAAGAGAAAATAAGTTAAAACAATAACTTATATATATTCAACAGAGATAAGTACTATGGAGAAAGATAAAATAGGGAAGGGGGACAGTGTAGGAAGGGTGAGGGAGGTGTTGCAATTTCAGAGTGAGTGGTCAGGGAAGGCCTCACCAAGAAGGTGATATTTGAGCAAATACATGAAAGAGCTGATGACAGAGTGAGCTCTGCAGATATCAGGAGGGAGAGCTATAGGAAGTAGGAAGAGTAAATGCGAAGGCTTGATGTGGAAGTGAGAATGGTGTGTTTGAGGACCAGTGCAACTAGAACGAGAGAGAGAAAAAGCAGAGGGGAATAAGGTCCAAGGAGATAGGAACTCTACTGTGGTAAGACCTTGTAGGTCAGTCTGAGGCCACTGTAAAGACTTTGGATAAAATTTCCACAGGAGGGCTTCCCTGGTGGCGCAGTGGTTGAGAGTCCGCCCGCTGATGCAGGGGACACGGGTTCGTGCCTGTGTCCGGGCAGATCCCACATGCCGCAGAGCAGCTGAGTCCGTGAGCCATGGCCGCTGGGCCTGCGCGTCCGGAGCCTGTGCTCTGCAACAGGAGAGGCCACAGTGGTGAGAGGCCCGTGTGCTGCAAAAAAAAAAAAAAAAAATTTCCACAGGAGTGAGTGTAATCTAGGTAGAGGGAAAAGCAAGAACAAAGATGGAGAAGCAAGGGGAAGGGGGGAAATTTTGAGGAGCACAAGAACTCTTTCCAGGATCATAGTATCTAGAGGAGTAAGGGAGATAAATAAGGGTGGAAAATATAATAGAAAAGGCCTAGATATAACACAGAAGCATTGGAATTTAATTTCCGAGTCAATGGGAAAGTATTAAAAGCATGAGTGAAAACACTGAAGCTGTACCTTACAACAATTAGGATGGTTAGAATAACAGAGTCTAATAACAGGCAGCTAATAAATGCAGAACAAATACTATAATTCTTTTAAAAATTTTATTGGAGTATAGTTGATTTACAGTGTTGTGTTAGCTTCTGCTGCACAGCAAAGTGAGTCAATTATACATACACATATATCAACTCTTTTTTTAGATTCTTTCCCCATCTAGGTCATTACAAACTTATGGTTACCAGGGGGTAAGGTGGGGGTGAGGGATAAATTGGGAGACTGGGATTGACATATACACACTACTACATATACACACTACTACATATACACACTACTATATACATATACTTCTACTATATAAAATAGATAATAAGGACGTACTGTATAGCAAAAATACTATATTTTAAAATATCAATATTTTGTTATTCCTAATGAAATAATTAATTCAGGTAAGGCTCATCAATTAGCTCTAAAGCCATTAAGCGAAAAATTGATGGGAAACTAGATAATCTCACAGTGACTTAATAATGGTTACAAGACATCATGTAAATAACAACCTCAATGGTGTAAAAGTAAAAGTTTAAGTGAGAGAAGTCAGGAAGTAGAACAGGGAAAGAGAATGAAAGGAAAGAGCAAGGACAACAAAAATCTTCACTTTACTAAATTAAAGATCAAGAGGTATCATAAAGAGTTGAAACAACAAGAAAAAAGTGTCAGTATATTAATTTAAATCACAAAGATACCCTATGGAAGAACTAAAAATAATATAATTCTACTGTGAAGATGAGAGAAAGGCAATGAAGAACTAGTGCCAGTTATCTAAATCTTCCACCATAGGTGGAAGTCAAGAGACAATTTCTAAAGTTGAATTCAGAAAGGAGAAAGCTCTTCCTTGCGGCAGAATGCCAGTAATACAGAAGTAATGATGGAGTTAGGAAATAGATACATGGAGGAAAGTTTGATGAGAAACAGAATATTTAGTATTATATATATACAAGGATATGTTTCTTTTTATTATTTTAATTGACATTTGAAAATTCTTTGAATTCTTTTAGTCTACTGACACAGGGTACATTTGGTTGAAAGAGAAAAGGCAGAGTGAAGAGACCATTCCAGAGTGAAAAGAAAGAGAAAAGTCAGAGTAAAAAGAAACCAGACCCTATGTGAATATGAAAGGACAAGAAGATACCATGGCATCATGTAGAAGCTGGAAAAGGCAAACACATTATCCCCTAGAACCTCCAGAAGGAATGCACCTCTGCCACCACCTTGATTTTAGTTTGCTGGACCTGTGTAGGACTTCTAACCTACATAACTGTAAGATAATACATGTGTGTTGTTTTAAGCACTGGGTTTGTGGCAATTTATTTATTTAGGCTTTGCCAGGTCTTAGTTGTGACACGTGGGAGCTTGTTGTCGCATGCTGGATCTCTTAGTTGTGGCATGTGGACTCTTAGTTGTGGCAAGCAGGTGTCTTAGTTGCGGCACGCAGGTTTCTTAGTTGTGGCATGTGGACTCTTAGCTGCGGTATGCAAACTCTTAGTTGTGGCATGCATGCGGGATCTAGTTCCCCAACCAGGAATCAAACCCAGGGCCCCTGCTTTGGGAGCATGGAGTCCTACCCACTGGACCACCAGGGAAGTCCCTGTGGTAATCTATTAGAGCAGCAATAGGAACCAATACACCAGCTCTCCTCCATTCACTCTTGCAAACATGAATGTCAATTATATCTGAACCCATACCTGGATTCAGATATAATTGTATGCCCCCAATATTAGCTCTTATATTTAGGTCTATGATTCAAGACATATATATATGTGCCATACATATATGGCACAAGACATGAATCAAAGTTTTTGCTTGCTCTCTTTTTCTTTCTTTTTTTTCTTTTTGGCATCTGGATCCAATTGTTTCAGAATCATTTGTTGAAAAGACTCCCCTTTCATCACTAAATTGTCCCTCTATCTTTATTTAAAATAACAACACAACAACAACAGATGTCCATATATGTGTGGTTCTCTCTGAACTTTCTATTCATCCCATTTATCTTTTATCTTTACACTAATATCACACTGTACTGATTACTGTAGCTTTAAATAAATCTTTTTTTTTAATAAATCTTGAAATCAGATAGTGTTAACCCTTAAACTTTGCTACTATTTTTCAAAGAATTTCAGAGGTGTTTGGCTATTCTAGGTCCTTTGCATTTGCATATGAATTTTACAATCAGCTTGTCATTCTTATAGATGATGATAGTACTCTTCTCCCAAACAAACTTTATAAAAGTAAAATGAAAATTATTTGGCATCCTGAAGTAAAAATGGAAAAACAGTAGTGTAACTCTTTACTTTCCTGATTAATAAAATGAAAACACAAAGGGGATTTCATCAAGCACTAGAAAAGCATTAAGAAAATGCTTCACCATGCAGGCGTAGAGAATGGATTTGAGGACACGTGGAGGGGGAAGGGTAAGCTGGGATGAAGCGAGAGAGTGGCACTGACATATATACACTACCAAATGTAAAACAGATAGCTAGTGGGAAGCAGCCGCATAGCACAGGGAGATCAGCTTGGTGCTTTGTGACCACCTAGAGGGGTGGGATAGGGAGGGTGGGAGGGAGACGCAAGAGGGAGGGGATATGGGGATATATGTATACGTATAGTTGATTCACTTTGTTATACAGCAGAAACTAACACAACATTGTAAAGCAATTATACTACAATAAAGATGTTAAAAAAAAAAAAAAAAGAAAATGCTTCACCAAAAGCAAAAATTCCAAAATGTGAAAATCAAATTTTGGGTAATTCTTCTGTGAAATTCTTAAAATAGCCCAAATTTTTGTTCTTCAATACATACTTACCCCTTCAGGGAAGAAGCATAAATAATAATTCCATTGTCTATTCCTAAAACAAAGATTAGATATCTCAAAAATTGAGACTCTAATTCCAGGGAAATGCTCTTACAGCAGTGAAAGTATATCCCAATTATGTATTAGTCATAACAGAATCAATACGAGAAAGCTCAGAGATCACCTAGAAGTTCTCAACCCAGATGACATATTAGAATCTCAAAGAGAAGTTTAAAAAATATGTATGCCTGGGCCCTACCATGAGTTCTGATTGATCTTAACTGGTCTAGGATGGAGACTAGGCATATATATTATAAAATCTGCCCAGATAATTCCAATGTGATGATAGAGAAGGACTGTCCAACTATTTACATTTTCTTTTATATATGATAAAACTAAGGCAGGGAGAAATTGACTTTCTCAGGAACGGAACTAATAAGTATTAACTAAAACAATAGAATATAATATTTACCAAAAATTGTTATTAGTTATTTATTGGTGATAACGATATTAC